AGGCACTGTGAGACATCACACTCAGTATAAGCATGATGGTGTGCTAAAGGGCTGTGGACAAGCCAGCATAGTGCATGAGGATGGGGCTGCTGCCTATGCTGGTCATCTCACGGACAAAACACGCCTGCCCCCTCAGGCCACCTGGGTTCCAGTGGGGCAGGGCCCGCTTCCTCTCCAGCTCCTCACTGGCTGCCAACAGTCCTGGAGGGAAAAGGGCAGTGGCAGGACACACAGTGGCGGGACACACAGTGGTGGGACACACACACAGTGGCAGGACACACAGTGGCAGGACACACAGTGGCGGGGCAGAGAGGTGCCTTCCTGAGGACCCAGTGCTTGAGCTGAAATCAAAGTATTAGAGGAGCTGGCTGGGGATGAAGGGTGGTGCAGTCCAGCAAACAGTGGAGAGCAAGCCCCGTGGAGCTGGCCACTCTCTGTGCCTGGTGGAGTCAGGGTGGCCACAAGGACGGGGCCACCAAGAAGGATGCAGATACAGATCCCTCCTGCTGGACGGCTCACAGTGGCCACAGCCTTTCTCTCAGCACACACCTCCGGAGAGGACAGGGCATGCAAACACAGGTGCACATGTCTCAGCCTGGCAGGTGAAGGCACCAGGCCAGGGAAACAGGGCTAGGAAGGAGCAATGGGACGCCACAGGTCAGTTGATGAAGCCAGGGGGCCCAGCCTGCAGGGAGGTGGCCAGCAAGGACAGAGGGCAGGCAGGGCTAGGGGCTGAGCGTGCCTGGGAGCTGGCCCAGTCACACTGTCTCTGTTACAAGCAGCAGATCAGGTATCAGCAGGGATGGGGCACCTGCCCATCTGAGGCAGAGGTGGTGATGCCAGACCCTGGCTCCCTTACAGGCAAGCAGGAACGTAGCTTTGCTGCTGAAGTCCAATGTCTCCCACAATGTAATGCTCCGTCCACTGTCCATGTGCAGCCAGGACCCTTGTGTGTCTTCCTAATGCATTTCAAACCTGCCTGCCTGAGCCAGCAGCCTCTGTATAGGGAGTCAGCCCCACCTGTACCCTCCAAGTCCACCTGGCCAGCCTCATTGCCTCCTGAACCTTCCCACACACCTCTGTCCCCAGAGTTCTGAAGATGGGGACACATCTCAGCAGGCACAGCCTGTGCCTCGAGGCCTCCAGCTCACAGGCTGCACCGTCCTCAGCAGACCTCTCACTGTAAGGCTCAGGACACCCTGGAACATCTTCCAGGGCCTTCAGACACACTTTCTTCATTAAAACCATACAAAAGAGATCATGTCTACAACACTCTTGGAACACAGAATCCTGTACACTTATTAAAAAAATAGTAGTTATTACTTATTAACATAATTACTACCTGGGGTGACAATGGATGGGTGCAGGGCAGCACACTAGGCCTTGTTCTCGAGAGCACCTGATGTTGCCAGAAGCATGTGAAATTAAAGCCGTTATCTGGAGCTAGCAGGCCTCGCATCTTCCTTAACTAGATGACACACAGCGAGATAAGCCTGTTGAACATCTCGTCCTGATAGAGCCCTTTCTATTCGCTTCTCTCTTGCAAGAAGAAAAGCAGTTCCCGTAAACACAGGCGCTCTCTCTGCCTCTCTCTGTCTCTCTCTGTCTCTCTCAAGATAAGATAATAGGCGTCCTAGAGCAGCCAAACTCTACAAAGTGCCCTGTACAAGAGGGATGTTCTCACGCACACTCTCACAACAGTATGTCTGTGCTCTAGCAAATGCACGCACACACACGTATTCACACAGTCACATGCACTCGTGCGCATGAACACAGTCATGCATATACCATGAAAATGCAAGCACACATGGTGCACCCAAACACAGCAATGCCTGCAGCACCCACACACTCCCATGCAGGCGCACACAGACTCAGCACCCACAGCCACATACACACCCACACCATTCCAATACGCCCTCTAACGTTTCACATACCACAGACTGTTCAGAACTGGAGGGTCAATTTGGGGTCCTCCCTGGCCACCATGAGTCTGTGCAACTTCAGAGGAGAGAGACACAGCCCTGACCACAGGAAGGGTCCGAGACAACGAACATTTTCTAGATCAAGGAGGAAGGGCCTTTCCAAGCTGCTCCGTGTACAGATTCTATTTACTCTGAAAGTACTATGTACAACCTTTAGATGGTAACAACAGAATACCGAGATACTGAAAAATGTCTGAGACAGCTCCTAAGTAAACTCAAACCTCATTTATACCAAGCAGAAAAAAACTGCTCTTCAAGAAGGCTAATCAATGTGGTATACCTACTCTAAGTCTTGGGAAATCCAATAAGCCCTCCCTGCATTAGGCCAAACTACTGTGGTACTGAGGCTACCCCGAGATGCGTGGTACCAGCCGTGGAAACCAGCCACGGCACTTTTCCTTGGGGACATTCAGGAGAACCAACTTTAGACACCAGCAACAAAGTTAAGTCCACAAAGCTGGTCATGTGCTTCACACCCGTGTCCCTTAGCCCTCACGGCAGCCCCCAGGGTAGTCGTTATGCCCATGTACTAGGCATGGAGTTAGAGGAGACTTGGCCCCTGGCAGGGTCCTGGCTCCTGGCCTTGCCTGTGCTCCTAAATCAGACCTGTCCCCACACAGCACACAAGAGGCAGGTGTCAGTAGGTGAGGAACACTGGGATGGGAGCCTCTGCCCAGATGTCATTTCGGGGTGAGGAAGCCGAGAACAGACCGACCGTGGCCCTGCTGGTGCCGTGCTGCTCCAGACGGCTCTCCCCACCTGCACAGTGGCCCATAGGACCAGGGACCTCAGACCCATGCCTGGCCCACAGCCCCAACTCCTAGGCTGTCCGGACTGATCTGGTTCCACCGCTCTGGGTTCAACCATTACTTTGCTTTTCCACCTTTTCACACTCAAGAAGTCATATTCAGAGACCAAAAGGTTTAAGTACGAGCCTTTCTATGAGAATGGAGTTCAAAAGTGAAAAGACTTTTTGGGCTCCCCATCCTCCTATGTTTCTGGAGGGGTGCAGCACCCCTATGGTCCCCCAGAGTGTGGGGGACACAGACAGGCTTCTGTCTTCACCCACAGATGTTCTGGAGCAAGACTGAGGAAGGAAGACGTCAGCCCGAAGGCATCGGGGCTGCTTCTCACCTTCTGGGTCCACAGGGCACAATGAACAAACAGAAAAGGCTGCGGGGGCGGCACTTGTGGCTCAAAGGAGTAGGGCACCGACTCCATATGCCAGGGGTGGTGGGTTCAAACCCAGCCCTGGCCAAAAACTGAAAAAAAAAAAAAAAGAAAGAAAGAAAGAAAAGAAAAATATTTTTAAAAAAAGAAAAGAAAAGAAAAGGCTGCAGCGGCGCAGCCCCCTGAACCAGGCGAGCTATGCAGGGGTGACCTGGTGACTGGGATGCCATCCAGCCCAGCCTGTGTGCAAATGTGTGCTGGAGAAATTTCAAATCACATGACATCTCACCAGTTTGCTCAGAGTAGACTGCAGACCTTGTTCTCCACCCTGGATCTAAATGAACTCCTCACACAGCTCCTGGGCGCTGGAGCCGGCTGAATTCAACCATGGGGGAGTCCCAGAGGGAGGCTACAGTCACCACCTCCCCTGGCTCCCTCCCTCTTACCTTTAGACTTACGGGTGGTAAGAGCTTAGCTGTCCCTCAGCCTGGTCCCTGAGGTCCTCCCACACTGACAGCTCCGCCCATGCAGGGCAGGCCTGCCCATCCCAGCTATGCTCACACAATGCCAAGAGGAGGAACATCCACCTTGAAGTCTGCACCCACCCCTTGGTCACTACAACTGACACACCCAGGAGACACAGGGTGCCTCCGGCCAAGAAGCATAGCAGGTTGGGCGCATGTAGTCCCAGCTACTCGGGAGGCTGAGGTAGGAGAATCGCCTAAGCCCAGGAGTTGGAGGTTGCTGTGAGTTGTGATGCCACAGCACTCTACTGAGGGCAATAAAGTGAGACTCTGTCTCTAAAAACAAAAGGTGGAAGAGGAACTAAGCACTGACTCTGAAATGCAGATTATAGGGAAGGCAGAGAGGCAGAGGTCCCGCAGGCCTGACGCAGGGAGTCACCAGGAGCACAGCGTGAGGAGGGACAGGTGGCACTGGGTGACATGCCAACCACACAGACAGCACATCCACAGCGCTGACCTCAGAAGAGAACAGACCGTGCCAGCAGAGGGGCACTCAGCCTTGTCTATGCCCCCAGGCTCTAGTCTGGGCCCTTTAACTTGGGTAGGATCCCAGAGGACCCGTAGAGGTTTGACTATTGTACATCCTTCCATCAAAGCTGCCCTCTCCAACGCAGCATCAGGAACCACTTGCCAGGTGGTCCTCCCCACAGGGAGAGCCCAAAAGGAGGTCCCAATGCCATAGAGGCCCGTAGGCCAAGACTCTGCCAATTCTCCACAGAAGAAATCCCAAACCCCACAGAGGAAATGATGCCAACCAGCTCCCCACTGTGTGATGCACCCACAGCTCACCCAATAGCCCCTCCGACTCCTCCTTAGCACTCCAAGGAAATAAAATGTTACAATCACATCCATTACACAGATTGACTACTGTGTAATCACAAAAGAATCAGCAAGTCCCATTAATTATCTGATGTCTGAGCATCAAGCAGCCAAGCTGGTTGCTTTGTTTACTGACTGGACCAAAATGAACCTGAATTCTAAAGAACAGAACGAAATTAATTTGCAAGCTTGGGTGTGAGATCTGAAAGTCAAACTGAATAAGCAGAGTTGCTGATGCTATAGAACAGACCAGAGAATAAATAGCAAATTACTAATCGCTGTCTTTTTCGCCATCTGAGTAGCTTTGCTCTTTCTGGGAAAATGGCCCCCAAACACCTATCTGTGTAAATACAGTCAGTCTCTGCTGAGGAAGGGTGGGAGGAAACAGCAGCTACGAAAGGGGTCTCCATGATTTCACTTCTGGAAATCCCTCCCGAAGTGTCTTCTCTTTGTGTTTTGTTTTGCTTTCGTTTAATCAATGACAGACTCATAAACCGGGGCTTACCTCGGCATGAAATACCTTGATCGTCAATAACTTGTTTGCAAACTCCACAGACTTTGGATTTCTTAAAGGCTTTCTTCTTAAAATTGTGCAGGCTTGCAGTTAATTCCTCTGCCTGAAAAAGTAAAGGAAGAAATTGTCAACATTTCAATTTATAGTTTGTTTCTTTTTTTTCCTTTTTAGGAGATAATAAATCTAGTAGAATTTATAAAGAACTAAAACAGGGCTCGGCGTCTATAGCTCAACCGGCTAAGGCGCCAGCCACGTACACCTAAAGTGGCAGGTTCGAATCCCCAGCCCGGACCCGCCAAACAACAATAATGGCTGCAACCGAAAAATTGCCGGGTGTTGTGGCGGGCACCTGTGGTCCCAGCTACTTGGGAGGCGAAGGCAAGAGACTCGCTTGAGCCCAGGAGTTGGAGGTTGCTGTGAGCTGTGACAGCATAGCACTGTACCCAGGGCGACTGCTTGAGACTCTGTCTAAAAAAAAAAAAAAAAAAAAAAGAACTAAAACAGGAACTTTACCAAGCAAGCAGAGAAGAAATCATCCTGGCAGCACTAATGTTCCCAAGGCAGGCCACAGATACTGGGTCAACATTATTGATTCTAGAGTCCCAGGTGGAAGTTCATTCTCGTCCAACTTGAATCCCGGCCACAGGGTGCCTTGGGACCACTACATTAATCAACACTAGTGTGTGACAACCTACTCCCTTCCAGGTCTGAGGTATACAACCACTCCCTCTGTAACAAAATAATCCACATATACTTCCAGAGTCTTTTTTTTTTTTTTTTTTTGAGACAGAGCCTCAAGCTATCCCCTGGGTAGAGTGCTGTAGCATCACAGCTCACAGCAACCTCCAACTCCTGAGCTCAAGTGAGTCTCCTGACTCATCAACCTCCCAAGTAGCTGGGACCACAGGTGCCTGCCACAACGCCCAGCTATTTTTTGGTTGCATCCGTCATTGTTGTTTGGCGGGCCCGGGCTGGATTCAAACTAGCCATCTTAGGTGTATTTTGGCTGGTGCCTTAGCCACTTGAGCCACAGGCGCTGAGCCCACTTCCAGAGTCTTAATGCTTTCTCTTCTAGATGAAATGACTAGCAAACAGCACCATTAGGTTAAAAGTAAGTTGACTGGTTTTCCTAATTCAAAGGTGTCCAGAATCAGGCTAAGTTCCTGAGCCTCTCAGAACTCTCCTGCAGAAGAAGAGGCAGACTAAGCCCAGCTGATCATGTGCGTGTGGCTCCTCCTTAAGCAGGAGGGAGCACAAGTTAGCAGGAGGGAGAAATTAACTTCTCCTCCACCACGTTCATGTTTGTAGGGGCAAATCTCACAGCTTTACTGATAAGTTTACAAGAACTCAATTTGCTTTCAGAAATCAAATGCCAATCTTTTTTCTTTTTGGCCAGGGCTGAGTTTGAACCCACCACCTCCAGCATATGGGGCTGGCGCCCTACACTTTTGAGCCACAGGTGCCACCCAAATGCCAATCTTTATACCTATTTATGAGGACCTAATAGTCATACGACTTCCCTGAGGCCATTACTCACTGACTAGAATAATTAAAATTTACTGAGAAGATGGAATGTATCGAGATTGTAGAATAAAGAACAACTTGGAAAAAGGTTGACAATTACTCATAAACTCAAATAGACACTCACCTTATGACCAGGAATACCACTCCTACAAACACACAAATGAGAATGCCTGTCTAAACAAAAGATTTATGCAAGAATGGTCATAGCAGCCCTACGTAAAAGTGCCCCAAACAGGAAATAGCCCCGAGGTCCCTCATAAGGAGAATGGATAAATATAACTACAGTATAGTGATGCACAGAATACTGTGGGGGACACACAAGCGCAGACAGCTGACACACACAACAGGGATGAACGGCAAAAGCACAACAGTGACTGAAAGGCGTCAGACACAGGTACACAACGATTGTGTGTGCAGGACAGCCAGCAGCAGGCACACCAGTCTGCGGTAACATAAGTCACAGTGGTTACTGACCGCTGGAGTGAGACGACGCTCTCAGGTGAAGAAGCGTTCTACTTGTGTTCTGGGTGGTCACACAGGGTACAGATACTTAAAGTCACTAAGCTATATGCTTAAGAATTTTTTTCTTTTTTTTTTTTGTTAAGTCATTTGTACATAGATCATGAATTTATGCCATTGTGAGATTCAATGTGTTGATTATTTGTACAAGTTGGAGTGCTTACATCCTACTAATTAACATAGGCTTCACCTCATTTACCCAAAGCTTAAGATTTTTACTGTCTAAAGGCATATGGAGGCCAGGTATGGAGGTTGACACCTGTAATTCTAGCACTCTGGGAAGCTGAGGCAGGTGGATCAAGTTCAAGAGCAGCCTGAGTAAGAGCGAGATCCTGTCTCTAAAACAAGCCAGGTGTTGTGGTGGGCACCTGTGGTCCCAGCTGCTCGGGAGGCTGAGACAGTAGGATCACTTAAGCCCAAGAGTTCGAGGTTGATGTGAGCTGTGACACCACAGCACTGTACCGAGGGCAACAAAATGAGACTCTGTCTCAAAAAATATATATATGTATACGGTAAAAAAAAATGTATGTTAATACAGGGACAATCCTGGAAAAATGTCGGTAGAGATATGGTGAAACAGAAGCAATGTGATCCCAATTTTTTTTTTAAATATAGATAGGAATGTCCACTTTTGATCCAGATATAGTACCAGGGACTGGATTTATCCTGACAGCTGAAATATTGAACAACCAAAAAAAACTCCCCAAATATATGAACAACAGTTTTTAAGACACTGCATCAAGAGATTAAGAATGGTGAGACCTCCCGCAGAGACAAGAAAAAGTGAGGTGAACTCTGCAATTGCACCTACATTACTGCCCCGAGTGAGCGTCCAGGTGGAAGAGAAAGAGGGTGGGACCCAGGCTGAGCCCAGTGTACCACCTGGGCTAAGCAGGAGAACCCAGAGTCCAGGAAGAAGAAGGCAGCCAGAGCTGACCAGGCCAAGAAGCACTGCAGAGCCGAGGGCTGCACAGAGCTCTTAAGACCCTCTGCAGAAAAGGTTAAGTAATATAGGTACTAGTTCCTCTTTAAAGGTTTGGTAGAATCCTGATGTGAAGCCATCTGGTCCTGGACTTTTCTTTTTGGGAGATTTCTTATAGTTGATGCTATTTCAGAACTTGTTACAAGCTTATTCAACATTTCCACTTCTTTCTGGCTAAGTCTAGGAAGGTGGCGTGTTTCCAAGTATTGATCTATTTCCTTCAGATTTTCATAGTTCTGAGAATAGAATTTTATGTAATATGCATTCAGCATTTGTTGAATTTCTGAGGAGTCTGTTGTTATTTGGCCTTTATCATTTCTGACTGATGAAATTATGGATTTTACTCTTCTGCTTCTGGTTAGGTTAGCCAAAGGTTTATCTTTTTTATCGACCTTTTCATAAAACCATCTTTTTGATTGATTGATCTGTTGTATGATTCTTTTATTTTCAATTTCATTTAATTCTTCTCTAATTTTAGTTATTTCCTTTATTCTTCTGGGTCTAGGGCTGGAATGTTCTTCCTTTTCCAGTTGCTTGAGATGTCCCATGAAGTTGGTAACTGCCCCTCTTTCCATCCTTTTGAGGAAGGCTTGCAAGGCTACCATGGAACACTATGCAGCATTAAAAAAATGGAGACTTTACTTCTTTCATGTTTACATGGATGGAGCTGGGAAATATTCTTCTTAGTAAAGTATCTCAGGAATGGAAAAAAAATACCCAATGTACTCAGTACTACTATAAAACCAATTTATAATCACTCACACTTTCATGTGAAAGATGAATCACAAGTATAGCCTAGAATGAAGATGGGAGGGGGAGGGGAAGGGAGGGAAAGGGAGGGGGGTTAGGTCGCTAGAGGGAGGGTTAATAGGAGGACCACACCTATGGAGCATATTGCAAGTACAAGTTGGATCTATCAGGTGTAGAACACAAATGTCTTAACACTGTAATTGGGTAAATGAGGTGAAGGCTATGTTAATTAGTAGGATGTAAGCACTCCAATTTGTATAAACAATCAACACACTGAATCCCATAATGGCATAAATGTATTCAAGATCTATGTACGAATGACTTAATAAAAAAAATTTTAAAAGACTGTCTGCAAAAGGTCCGGCTCAAGCACGACGCATGACTCAAGGCTGGAGAAAGAATCACAAGAGGGAGCAGCAGAAATGACCCAAGGCTGGAGAAAGAACCATCAGATAGAGCAGCTCACACAGAGCTGGGGATAGTGCCTGTTCCCACTGCCAGACCAGGAATTAGGAAACCTCAAAATGCACAGAGCATTTCATAGCAAATACAGAAGGATCTCACCTTCAAGGTGAGACGGAGTTAGATACAAAGCCGCGACTTAACTCCGACCCTGTTCTACGCACTCTACCTGAAAAGCACTAACCAAAAGGATCAAACTTCCTCCAAGTAACTTAACTACAGCTCAGAACAAAGCTCAAGAACACTTGCAGGGATATAAATATCCAGTGCCCAATGAGGCAAGGTTCACAATGTTTGGGATCCAGTCGAAAATCTTGGCTTGGCGCCTGTGGCTCAAGTGGCTAAGGCGCCAACAAAATACACCTAAGGTGGCGAGTTTGAATCCAGCCCAGGCCCGCCAAACAACAATGCTGGCTGCAACCAAAAAATAGCCAGGCTTTGTGGCGGGCGCCTGTGGTCCCAGCTACTTGGGAGGCTGAGGCAGGAGACTCG